GGCAAGACCATCTCAAAGAATTCAGACTCAAACCACCTCTAATGCGCATATAGACATTTATTGGGAATGATGACTCCAATGGGCTGATTTCCTAGAGGAAACAGCAAATTAGTAAGACACGACAGGCAATTTTATAGTGTAATGATGCTGATTACACAACAGAAATTATGGATAGTAGAAAGTCGGGAGTGGTTTGTCAAGGCATAATGTAATAGGGGATGAGGTCTGTTAAAAAGATTAGGTAATGGGGAGGGGTGCCAACCTAGGTGAAAATGCCCATGTGATTTCCCATAAAGCATACAGAAAAACCCATCAGAGGGGGGCTTATATGTATGATAATGATATTATAATAAGACTCTCTACATCACAAGTTCATCTAAAGGACAGCTTTTGCTATTACAGCACAGGTACCTACATATGGAAAGTCACTTCTACTGTTTTGGGGTCTGCATCCTGCTCGGGCATCCTGCTGGTGCTGCTCTCTGATTGTCTGACTATTGTGTTCCTGTCTGAGATTAGATGGATGTTGTTCCAGTTGAGTGCATGGGCAGACCTGTTGTTTCTTTAGGAAATATGAGGAATGGGTCTGGGGGCAGTGGCTAACTAGAGGCAGTGGCTGGGATCCTATCACATGGATGCGCCTGCTGTTTTTGTGTGAAACATGAGTTCATGGACACACCTGTTGTTCTGGTGAGGCAGTGAGGCATATATGAGGAAGTTATGATATTAATCTGGGGGGAGGGAGGGTAGGTGGGTATCACCTAACAGTGGCAAGGTAGGGGCAGTGGGCCTACTGTTCAGTGGAGCCTATGATTGAGTCTGGGGACCGTGGTGTGGTTAAAGCTAGATTTTGTGGTTAAATCAGGACATGACTGTTCTTTGGTGGGGCCCATAAGGAAGCCAGAATATTGGGGCTGGGATAAGTTTACTAGGATTCCATCAGTTGGAAGGAGATTATATAGACAGAGGGTACAGGTGTGAGTTAAATATGAAGGGATGATATCTAAAAAGTAAAATTAAGGGGTGAGATAGGAATGTAATGGAAGAAAGAGAAAGGTAGAGCTAGAACAGGAGTCAATTTTCTCATAGAAAAAAGGCAAGTAGAGCTTTAACAGTGGGAGGAAGAAGAGGAATATGAGAGTGAGTGAGTCAACTTTACCGTCCTTAGAATTAGCTCAAAGAGGGAATAACATACACACACAATTAGGTAAAGAAATCTATCTTACCTTACAGCAAAGTAGGAGGGGAAAGAGATGAGATAAGGGGGATGGTGATAGAAGAGAGGGGAGATTGGGGGAAGGGATAGTCAGAAGTAAAACTCTGTTGAGGAGGGATAGAGTCATCTCTGGCTTCTCACCTTCTTTGTTCTCTTTCTATACAATACCTGACACGGCCTAATGGCAGTCCAGGGATCCATCACTCTGTCCTTTTACCACCACAGGGCTGGTCTCATGAGTAAACTAGTTTATACAACACAATTAGTCTTAGTATCTGTAATAAATTGACATATATAATCCATGCTGTTGTGGTCAGCTTCTTTCTTTGGAATCACATACCTTCCCATTGTGGTATACCATAAGGAATGCCATCCTTTGGATGGTCTGTGTCCTTACAAGTTCGTTCCCACTGAAATGTGGACAGAAGAGCCTTCAGGAATACCTCACAACACCAAGTTTAATTAGGTCAACCTGGCATCAAAATGGTGGAGAGAGGTTAAGGGACTTTCCCAGCGTGTCACACAACTAGTAAGTATCAGAGACATGGTTTAAACTGAGTTCTTCCTTACTCCAAGCACTGGAGACAGAGCTACAGTGCAACATATGATGAAGTCAGACCTTTTTCAGGGCCTCATAACCTATGAGACTTTAGCTCCCACGTTTCCTGACCCCAATGTATGTACACACACACACACACACACACACACACACACACACACTTCTGGGTTAGCTTCAATGTTCACTTCAACCCATTGTTACCTCCATTCACATGTATAAAATTCATTCATTCAACAAACATTAAGCAACTGTGGTGGGTTTCACCTTATGTGTTAGGTTTTTTGGTGTAGGGCAGGTGTGGAATGGCTTCCTGAAATACCTCATGTTGCAAGTGTGGAGTTATGAATAAGCAGGCTAGAGCCCAGGCCTGTGAGGCCTGGAGGTCAAGGCACAGCAGGCAAGCCACTGGCCCCTAAGGCACTGAAACATCAAGCCATGGGCCATGACCCTGACAAGAAACGAGACAGTGCCTCCTGTAACCCAATAGCAGAGTTCAACTTTAAAAGTCACAACCTAGGCTGCAAAAGCATCAAAAAATGAAAATAAAAAAATGCTTGACCACAGAGATCTACTGTGATCTACTGATCTACTGCACAGCCTTGCCTCACTTAAATCCACTTCATTTGCAAGGCAAACATCACCCTCCTGATATCATTGCTCCTCTTCCCAAACAAAGTATGAACAACACAACACCAAAAACTATAACAACAACAAGGTACGATCAAAATGTGTAGATGCATTAGAAATAAATGATACCATAAGTAAATGAGGAGAGCAAGAAATAGTTTTTACCTGTGAGATCTATGAAGAGGAGAAGATTTTAAGACCAAACAAAAGATAGAGACCATTACAAGATGTAAAATGGACAATTTTATTTATATTAAATTGAAAAAGTTTTGCACAAATAAAATCAATGCAACAAACATTAGAAGGAAAATATAAAGCTGAAAACAATATTTTTAAATTAATTAATTTTTAGTTTTCAACATTCACTTCGACAACATTTTGAGTTACAAATTTTCTCCCTATCTCTCCCCTCCTCCACCTCAAGACAGCATGCATTTTGAATGCCCCTTCCCCCAATCTGCTCTCCCTTCTATCACCCCCACTTCTCTTATCCCCTTTCCTTTCTGTTTTCCTGTAGGGCAGGATAGATTTCTATAGCCATTACCTGTATATCTTATTTCCCAGTTGCACGTAAAAACAATTTTTAACATTTGTTTTTCAAACTTTGAGTTCCAAATTCTCTCCCTTCCTCCCTCCCACCCTCACCCCACCCAACCTCATTGAGAAAGCAAGCAATTCGACACAAGTTATACATGTGTAGTCATGAAAAACACCCTGGAAACAATTTTTACGAGTGTCTTTGATAAAGGCCTCATTTCTCATGTACGTAGAGAATGGCATCAAATTATAAGAATACAAGTTATTCACCAATTGATAAATGGTCAAAGCATATGAACAGGTAGCTTTCAGATGAAGAAACCAAGCCTATCTATAGTCATAAAGAAAAAAATGTTCTAAATCACTATTAATTAGAGAAATATAAATTAACATAATTCAGAGGTACCACCTCACACCTATCAGAGTTGACAATATGACAGAAAAAGACAATGATAAATGGAGGGGATGTGGAAAAACTAGAACACAATGCACTGCTGGTGGAGCTGTAGACTGATCCAACCATTCTGGAGAGCAATTTAGAACCATGCCCAAAGGGCTATCAAACTGTGCATATCAATTGATCCAGCAATACCACTCCTAAATCTATACCTTAAATATCAGAGATACTTGCTGCAATGAGTTTTTCCTATTTACAGGCTTTTTTTTTCTAGTTTTAGCTGCATTAATTTTCTTTTAAAAAATGTTTGAGTTAATTTAAATAGATATAATTCAAATTATCATTTTTAACTCCTGGGATCCTCTCTATCTTTTCTTCATTCCTGAACTATTCTTCTATATATAGATGACAAAACTAATTTTTTCAATTCTGGAATTTGCTTATAATATTTTCCTTTATGTGTTAGTCATGAATTCATTTGCAGCATATCTTGGTTTATGCTGTGAGATGTTGGTCTATACCTAGTTATTGTCATGCTGCTTTTCATGGTTCTCAGAAGCTTTTGTCAAAAAGTAAGTCCTTACACCCAGTAGTTATGGTCTTTGGATTTACAAAAAAACTAAACTACAGGGTTCACTAGCTTCTCAGACTATGTCTAGATTGCCTTTCCTTTAACACAAACACTGGGATCAAGTGGTCACTTCCTCCCAGCACCGGCATCATTTCCACTCAAGTATCAAGTTCCTTCCTATTACTGATTCAGAATAGTCAGTCAATGAATATATGTTAAGCACTTACCATGTGCCAGGCACATTGCTAAGAAAGTGCTGTGGATACAAAGAAAGGGAAAAGACTGTCTCTCTTTCACATTCTGGGGCTTAGGCTGTGTTCAGGCAAGATTAATACCTCTTGTGTGAGGTTTCTGAGTCCTTTATCTGTCTACTTTCCAGCTTTGGTATCCATCTGATCCACCTATCTCTTACCTGTGGCTCCAAGAAGCTGTAGCACGCACAACAGCCATGTACCAGTAAACCGTTTCAGCACATGGCTAAACCAGGTTGATGGTAACTTAGGGGTCTCCAACCCCTCAGTGAGTTAGGAGATTATCTACCCCAAGCATGTGAAGACTTCCCCTGGTGGAATGGGCTGATGAGAACAATTTGTTCCAAAGGCCATGAAGGCACTTGAGGCAGGCATTGTGGAGCACTTGGAGCTTACTCAGACATTGAAGACACCAAGGTCATCCACTGCATCTTGAGCCATCACCAATCATGTTGACTCTGTCCTGCCACTAGAATGTGATGACTCTGGAAGTGAGAGTGAGGTCAACAACTTCATTCAATTCTGTCTCAATTACATCCAATTTACGCACTAGTCAAAAGACATTACTGATAGTATTTCACCAATTTTCCCTATCTCAAAGTCCTGTGGTAACAAGCAAGTGATAAAGCAGCAGGTGTGGGTACACTGGGAGCTGTAGTCACAACCCTGCACACAGGCAGCCCAGGCCATAGGGTCATCTTCTCGCTGGAAGTAGCAGTGGGATTTGGCAGCCTCCTGGGGTCTGAGCAACCTTTTAAGGATCACACTGCTCACCTTCTGGTGTGAGGAAGAGGCTAGAGAAGGTGCCCTAAAATGTGTCTGCTTAGCCAACCCTGGCCTGACTACCGTGGCAGGCAGGGATCACATCCTGCAGTCGAAACACAAAAAAATATACAAAACTTCTGCAAAGATGATTTCACTCACCTTCAATAAATGGAATATGCACGTGCTTATAGACACCATAAAATCCAGTAGACCTCAAAGATGAACAGCTCTTGTTGTGAGAAAACTCAGTAGAGATCACATTCAAATAGCAGCCCTGAGTGAAACAAGGCTGTCGAATAAAAGCCAGCTTAGTGAAGTCTGAGCTATGGCCACAGAGAAGGGAACTGCCATGAAGCTGGTGTAGGTTCTGTAATCAAAGTTAATCTAGATAGCAAGCTTGAATGAGTACCAAAGGAGTGAATGACAGGCTCATGACAATTTGATTGTCACTTGCAGGAAAACACCAAGCCACCATCATCAGTGCGAATGTTTCCTCCATGACGAACCATGATGATGTCAAAGAAAAATTTTAGGAAGACTTGAAGACCCTTATCATCAGTGTGCCAAAAGAGGACAACATTGTAATTCTAGATGACTTTAATGCTAGAGTAGGCTCAGACTACTGGACATGGCAGCGAGTCCTTGGGAGGTCTTACTTCTGAAAACTTGTGCATCTCATAACCTTCTCATCACCAACACTGTCTTCCATTTACCTAAACACAATAAAAATTTGTGGATGCACCCTAACAGCAAACATTAGTATTTAATAGACTCAGAGGTTCTCAAACTTATTAAGCCTACTGCCCCCTTTTAAAAAAAAATTACTCAGCACCTCCCTGGAAAGCTATTTTCTTTAACCCTTTAATAGTTTTTTTTTAATTTGCACTGTGCTTAGTCCTGCACATACTAAAAGAGACAAAAGACTGCTCCTGCCCTCAAGGAGCTTTAAGTATAAAGAGAAAGATTATGCCTTATGGTCTACTAGAGGATCTTATACTTTAAATGAGGATCTTACAGTCTAGTGGAGGAGTTTTTGGTCTAATATTAGAGACAAATAGAGGAAAATGGAAACAACTAAAATGAGAAAGAATGACAGATTGAATAAAACAAAATTCTACGATATGTTGTTTATAAGAAACACATTTGAAATACAGACATATGCAAAATAAAATTGCAGAAATGGAAGGAAAAAAATATACTTTGCATCAGGTCATTCCAAAAAAATAGACAATGCAGTCATGGTATCTGATAAATCAAAACAGATATTCAAACAATACAAAAGATAAATAAGAAAACAACATTTGACTGATAGGAACCATAAACAGTAAACCAATATCAGTGATAACAAACCTTTACACTCCCAGTGCCTTACCATACCAACTCATAAAGGAAACGTTAGCTAACCTACCAGAAGACATAGACAGTAAGAGAACAGTGGCGGGAGACTTCTATATCCCTCTGGAGCACTGGGCCTAGAGTTAGGAAGACCTGTGTTCAAATATAGCCTCAGGGACTTCATAGCTGTGTGATGCTTAACAAGTGACTTCACCTGTGTATCCTAGTTGTGAAATGGGCAGAAGAATATCATTTACCTCACAGGGTTGTTGCGAGAATCAGATGAGATAATATTTGTAAAAGAGGTAAGCACAGTGCCTGGCACATAGTAGGTGGTTAATAATGTTTGATTGATTGATGAATAGAGTTTCAAGTCTGGAAGATTACACTTCCTTTTACTGTAATACTGTGCCCAGTTTAGAGTTCAACCAGTCGACATTGAAGGGTACCAGGGGCAAGACTAGAAATATTGAAATGCAAAAGAGGAGGCCTTTCAGATCTAGAAGAAACATTCCACATAGAAAGTGTATGAGGCTTCAGTTCTTCAAGTGCATAACCTTGGCATTGGGGTAAATGTTTTGTAGCTAGCATTCTTGCTGTGTCTTTGAAATGCCTTTGCTAGGAAAGGAAGTCTACTGGTTAATTGTGAAGGGGAAACACAGGCGAGAGAGTTCTTCCATTAGTGTTAGTACCCTGGGTGTAGAAGCAGCTACACCCAGTAGTACCTGTGTGGGATGGTGAGTTAACTAAGACAGGGATTGTACAATAAGAGAGATAGTAATATGAAAGATTTTATCCAGAGAAAGTGGACAGGATGGTAAAGAGACTGAAATTCATGCCATCTGAGCATGAAGATTATGCTTTCTCAGTTATTCAGTCCATAAACATTTATGGAGTATCTCCTAAGTGCCAGACACTTGGGAAGAAAAAAAAGCCAAGGACAATCGCTTTCCTCAAGGACCTCACAGTCTAATAGGGAAGGCAATAGATAAAGAGATGAAGTACAAATAGATCACACACAGGACACATTGGATATAAGCAAGAGTATAAAGGCCCTAGAGCTAAGGAGGTCCATGAAAGGCTTCTTGTAGAAGGTGGGATTCTAACCGGGTCCTGAAAGAAGTCAGGGAAACCAGGAGGCAGAGATGGGGAGGGAGAGCATTGCAGAGCAGAGGGACAGCCTGTGAAAATGGCCAGAGTTGGGAGATGGAGCGTCTTGTGCAAAATCCAGCAAGGAGGAGGGTGTCACTAGATTCCAGACTATCTGGAGGGAGAGTGTACGGTGTAGGAAGAATGCAGGGATAGGGGCAGATCATGATGGGCTTTGTGAGCCAAAAAGAGGATTTTATATTTGATCCTTAGGTAATAAGAAGTCACTGGAATATCTTTTTTATTTATTTTTAATTTAATTTATTTACTTTTAGTTTTCAACATTCACTTCCATAAGATTTTGAGTTATAAATTTTCTCCCCCTCCAACTTCTTCCCCACTCCCAACCTGAGACATTGTACAACCCGATATAGGCTGTATATACACATTCCTGTTAAGCATATTTTCCCATCAGTCGTGATGTAAAGAACAATTAGAACTAATGGGAGGAACCACGAGAATGAAGCAATAGAACAAAACAACAAAGGAAATGGAGAGCAAATAGTATGCTTCCTTCTGCATTCAGATTCTATATTTCTTTCTCTGGGTGTGAATAGTAATTTGCATCATGAATCTTTTGGCAAAGTCAGTCATCCCATAATATGGCTGCTACTGTGTACAATGTTCTCCTGGTTCTGCTCATTTCACTCTGCCTCAGTTCATATAAGGCTTTCCAAGGTTTTTGGAAGTCTGCCTGCTCATCATTTCTTATACCCCAATAGTATTCCATTACATTCATATACCACAACTTCTTTAGCCATTCCCCAATTGATGGCCATCCCCACAATTTCCAATTCTTTACCATCACAAACAGAGGTGCTATAAATATGTTTGTGTATGTGGGTTCTATTCCTGTTTTTATGCTCTCTTTGGGATACAGACCTAGAAGTGGTATTTCTGGGTCAAAGGGTATGCACATTTTGATAGCCCATTAGGCATAGTTCCAAATTGCTCTCCAGAATGGTTGCATCATTTCACAACTCCACCAACAATGCATTAGCGTTACAATTTTCCCACATCTTCTCCAACATTCATCATTTTCCTGTTTTGTCATATTGGTCAATCTGATAGGTGTGATGTGGTACCTCAGAGTTGTTTTGATTTGCATTTCTCTAATCAAGAGTGATTTAGAGCATTTTTTCATATGACTGCAGATGGCTTTAATTTCTTCATCTGAGAACTGCCTGTTCATATCCTTTGACCATTTATCAATTGGGGAATGGTTTGTGTTTTTATAGATTTGACTTAATTCTCTACATATTTTAGAAATGAGGCCCTTATCAGAGAGACTGGTTGTCAAAATTCTTTCCCAATTTTCTACCTTCCTTCTAATCTTAGTTGCATTGGTTTTGTGCAAAAACTTTTCAATTTAATGTAATCAAAGTTATCCATTTTTCTTTTTGTAATGTTCTCTATCTCCTGTTTGGTCATGAATTCTTCTGTTCTCCATAGATCTGATAGGTAAACTATTCCTTGCTCTCCCAGTTTGCTTACAGTATCAACCGTTATATCTAAATCATGAACCCATTTTGACTTTATTTTGGTATATGGTGTGTGAGATTTTGGTCTGTGCCTAGTTTCTGCTATACTCTTTTCCAGTTTTCCCAGCAGTTTTTTTTTCAACGAGTGAGTTCTTATCCCAGAAGCTGGGGTTTTTGGGTTTATCAAATAATAGATTACTATAGTCATTGACTTCTGTGTCTTGCATATTTAACCTATTCCTCTGATTCACCACTCTATTTTTAGCCAGTACCAAGCAGTTTTGATGATTGCTGCTTTATATTACAGTTTAAGATCTGGAATGGCTAGGCCACCTTCCCCTACATTTCTTTTCATTAGTTCCCTTGATATTCTGGACCTTTTGTTCTTCCACATGAATCTTGTTATTATTTTTTCTAACTCTATAAAATCATTTTTTGGTAGTTTCATTGGTATGGCACTGAAAAGGTAAATTAGCTAAGGTAGAATTGTCATTTTTATTATATTAGCTCGGCCTACCCATGAGCAACTGATGTTTTTCCAATTATTTAGATCTGACTTTATTTGCGTGAAAAATGTTTTGTAATTGTGTTCATAGAGTTCCTGGGTTTGTTTTGGGAGGTATACTCCTAAATATTTTATAATGCCTACAGTAAGTTTAAATGGAATTTCTCTTCCTATCTCTTGCTGTTGGGCTTTGTTGGTAATATATGGAAATGCCAATGATTTATGTGGGTTTATTTTATAGCCTGTAACTTTGCTAAAGTTGTTTATTATTTCATGTAGTTTTTTATTTGATTCTCTAGGGTTCTCTAAGTATATCACCGTATCATCTGCAAAGAATGATAGCTTCCTTTCTTCTTTGCCTCTTCTAATACCTTCTATGTCTTTTTCTTCTCTTATTGCTAAAGCTAACGTTTCCAGCACGATATTGAACAACAATGGTGATAATGGACATCCTTGTTTCACCCCCGATCTTATTGGAAATGCATCTAGCTTGTCCCCATTACATATAATGCTTGGTGAAGGTTTTAGGTAGATGCTATTTATTATTTTAAGGAAGACTCCATTTATACCTGTGCTCTTTAGTGTTTTTAATAGGAATGGGTATTGTATTTTGTCAAAAACTTTTTATGCATCTATTGAGATGGTGACATGATTTCTGTTAGTTTTGGTGTTGATATGATCAATTATGCTGATAGTTTTCTTAATATTGAACCAGCCCTGCATTCCTGCTATAAATCTTACCTGTTGCTGTAATCTATTTGATAATATTTTGTTTAAAATTTTTGCATCTATATTCATTAGAGAAATTGGTCTATAATTTTCTTTCTCTGTTTTTATTCTTCTTGGTTTAGATATCAGCACCATATTTGCATCATAAAAAGAATTTGGTAAGACTCCTTCTTCACCTATTTTCCCAAATAGTCTATATAGTATTGGAATTAATTGTTCTTTAAATGTTTGATACAATTCTCATGTAAATCCATCTGGCCCTGCAGATCTTTTCCTAGGGAGTTAATCAATGACTTGTTCAATTTCTTTTTCTGAGATGGGGTTAAGTATTTTACTTCCTCTTCTGTTAATCTGGACAATTTATATTTTTGTAAATATGTATCCATTTCACTAAGATTGTCAAATTTGTTGGCATATAGTTGGGCAAAATAGTTCTTAATTATTGTTTTAATTTCCTCTTCCTTGGTTGTAGTTTCACCCTTTTCATTCCTGATACTAGTAATTTGGTTTTCTTCTTTCTTTTTTTTTAATTAGATTAACCAAAGATTTATCTATTTTATTGTTTTTTCATAAAACCAGCTTTTAGTTTTATTTATTAGTTCAACAGTTTTCTTAATTTCAATTTTATTAATTTTTCCTTTGGTTTTCAATATTTCTAATTTGATGTTTAATTGAGGATTTTTAATTTCTTCTTTTTCTAGTTTTTTTTAGTTGTATGCCCAATTCATTGATCTCCTCTTTTCCTATTCTATTTATGTAAACATTTAGAGATATAAAACTTCCCCTAAGAACTGCTTTTTGCTGCATCCCATAAGTTTTGGTATGTTGTCTCATTATTGTCATTCTCTTGAACGAGATTGTTGATTGTTTCTATGATTTGTTGTTTGACCCAATCATTTTTGAGGATTAGATTATTTAGTTTCCATTTATTTTTCAGTCTATCTTTCCATGGACCTTTATTACATATAATTTTATTGCATCATGATCTGAAAAGGATGCATTTAATATTTCTGCCTTTCTGCATTGGATTGTGAGGTTTTATGACCTAGTACATGGTCAATTTTTGTGTATGTGCCATGTACCACCGAGAAAAATGTATATTCCTTTCTATCCCCATTCAGTTTTCTCCAGAGGTCTACCATACCTAACTTTTCTAATGTTCTATTCACCTCCTTAACTTCTTTCTTCTTTATTTTGTGTTCAGATTTATCTAGTTCAGAGAGAGGGAGGTTGAGGTCCCCCACTAGTATAGTTTTGCTGTCTATTTCTTCCTGCAACTCCCTAAACATCTCCTCTAAGAATTTGGATGCTATACCATTTGGTGCATATATGTTTAGTAATGATATTGCTTCATTGTCTATGGTGCCTTTTAGCAGGATGTAGTTTCCTTCCTTATCTCTTTTGATAAGATTTATTTTGGCTGTTGCTTTGTCTGAGATCAGGATTGCTACCCCTGCTTTTTTTACTTCAGCTGAAGCATAATATATTCTGCTCCATCCTTTTACCTTTACCCTATGTGTGTCACTCTTTTTCAAATGTGTTTCCTGTAAACAACATACTGTAGGATTGAAGTTTTTTATCCATTGTGCTATCTGTTTCCATTTTATGGGAGAGTTCATCCCACTCACATTAACAGTTATGATTACTATCTATGTCTTTTTCTCCATCCTTTTCCCCCCGTTTATGCTTTTCTTTCTTCTTTCTCCTTCCCCCACCCTCACTAGTGTTTTGCTTTTGACCACCGCCTCCTTCAGTCCCTCCTCCCTTCCATTAGCCCTTTCCCTTTTCTTCCCCTTTACCCTTACTGCTTCTTCCCTCCCTTCTATCCCCCCTCCCTTTTCTTTTCCCTTTTCCCTCCTACTCCCTATAAGGCAAGTTAGATTTCTATACCTAACTGATTATGTTATTCCCTTCTTGAGCCAAATCTGATGAGAGTAAGGTTCAAACCATGCTCATCCCCCTACCTTCTTTCCCTCTGCTTGTAATAGGTTTTTGTGTCTTTTTCTGTAATGTAGTTTGCCCTTGTCTGCCTCCTCCTTTCTGAGTACATTTTCTAAACTCAGACTAATCCACTTGTGTGGATCCATTTAACCCACTTGATTAGATTTTTTTTTTACCATTACATCAAAATCAACTTATATCCACTCCCTTTGTGTATACTCCTTTAACATGGTATAATAATACAGTTCTCAAGAGTTGCAAGTGTCATCTTCCCTTGTAGGGATGTAAAGAGTTTGCCCTTATTAACAACATATTGTATCTCTCTGTCCCATTTACCTTTTTATGTCTCTCTTGAATCTTGTACTTGAAGATTAAATTTTTTGTTGAGCTCTGGTCTTTATATCAGGAAGGTTTGGAAGCCCCTTATTTCAGTGAATATCCATCTCCTCCCCTGAAAGATCATGCTCATATTCGCTGGGTAGTTGATCTTTGGCTGCAATCCAAGCTCCTTTGCCTTATGGAATATCATGTTCTATGCCCTAAAGTCTTTTAATGTAGAAGCTGCAAGGTTCTGTGTAATCCTCACTGTGGTTCCATGATATTTAAATTGTTTCTTTCTGGCTGCTTGTAGTATTTTCTCTTTAATCTGGTAATTTTGGAATTTGGCTACTATATTCTTTGGCATTTTCAATTTGAGATCTCTTTCAGGAGGTGAGTGGTGGATTCTTTCTATGGCTATTTTACCTTCTGATTCTAGGACCTCAGGGCAGTTTTCCTTTATGATTTCCTGAAAGATACTGTCCAGGCCCTTTTTTTCATCGTTATTTTCAGGCAGACCAATAATTTTTAAACTGTCTCTCCTGGATCGATTTTCCAGGTCAGTTGTTTTTACCAGTTTTACATTTTCACCTATTTTTTTCATTTTTTTCATTTTTTGTTTCTGCTTGACTGATTCTTGCTCTCTCATAGTCATTAGTTTCCATTTACCCAATTCTAATTTTTAACAATTTGTTTTCTTCTATTAGATTTTGTACTTCCTTCCCCAATTGGTCAATCATATTTTTCAGGTATTTGTTTTCTTCAGTGCATTTTTTCCAGTTGGCCAATTGTGTTTTTTAGGGACTTGTTTTCTTCAGTGTTCTTTTTTCTCAGTTGGGCAATTGTATTTTTTAAGGACTCTTCTACCTCTCTCATTTGACTTAAAATCCTTCTTGAGCTCTCCTAAGAAGGCTTTTTGGGCTTCAGACCAGTTCATATTCCCTTTTGAGGAGGCAGATGTGGGTTTGTTGACAATGTTGTCCTCTTCAAAATTTCTGTCTTGATCTTCACTCTGCTCATAATATTAATCTATGGTACGTTTCTTTTTACTCATGGTGTTTCTTTATTCCCTAGCCTTTAAAGAGATTGTGCTCTCCTGCTGGAAGCAGAGGACACTGACCCAAGCTTCTTGTGTTGGGAGCCTAGGTCTTGGTCACTGGTTTTGTGTGCTGGGGCCTCTTATGTTGGCAGTTGGAGGCTGTAGGGTTCTGGCAGCTTACTTGGTGTTGGGCTGGAATCAACAAGGCTGGAACTTTCAGGCAATTCTAGGTTGCCTGCTTTTCCTTTCCTTTAACTTTCTTCAGCTCCTTTTAGATGGGTGTTGCAGGGTGTTTATCTGCCTGGGGCCCCTTGCAGTGCTGCCTCCCTTAGTTCTGCTGAGGCAGTGGGAGACACCTTTGCTGTAGAATGCTGAGGCACCTGGTGGTGTTATGAGCTGGTTTTCACCAGTTACCCCACCCTCACTGAGGCACTTGGGGGTCCAGCTGTTGGTGTTTGCCCGCTGGACCACCTTGGCTACAGCATCTCCTCCTGGATGGCAGTTGGAGGCTGTAGGGTTCTGACACCTTACCTGATGTTGGGCTGGAATCAGCAAGGCTGGAACTTTCGGGCAACTCTAAGTTGCTTTCTTCAGCTCCTTTCAGAGGAATGCTGCCGGGTGTTTATCCCCCTGGGGCCCTTTGTAGTGCTGCTTCCCTTATTTTTGCTGAGGCACTGGAAGACCAATGCTGAGGCACCAGGATCGCCTCCTGGTGTGCTCAACTGGGGCTTTCTGGGAGCTGGCTGGGACGCCTCCCGTTTGTACTGCTTCCCTTCCACCAGGGCAAGACGGGCCTTTCCCGTTAATCTCTCCAGCTACCTGGGCTACTGCACTGCTCCTCCCTCTCTTTTCCGGTTCAGCTGTTCCAGGGTTTTTCTTGGGGTGCTATTTTCTGGGCTTTTAGAGGTTGGTAGGAGAGGGTGAGAGCACCTACCTTTCTATTCCGCCATCTTGGCTCAGAAAAGGATTATTTTGAGAAGAAAAATGATGCTCTGAACTAGTTTTAAACTGAGGAGGAGCTGTCCAAATTATAAGACAGTCTACACCTGGGCATATTGGTGGTGGTGGCCTTTTACCATGTTAGAACATTAGAGTGCACGGTTTATCATCGTCAACTGGCCAGTTGATATGGCAGTACTGACATCTGTAGAAAAGGGTGAGTTGTAGGTGTGCCCCCTCTAAAGCTGCCTAAAGCAAAGCGTAATCCCATTAACGGAGAATATAGTTACTGGGAACTCATGTTTAGTAAATAAAGCCTCGGAGAGTAAAAGGGGCTCAGCAAAATGCCAAACAGATTCTGGGTTGCTTCAAGGCACCTATCAAGACAACTATGGAGCTCTTTTTCCCTGCGCACCACTGCCTCCCCTCCACCCTTTCCATTTTGAACCTCACCGTCCGATGGACTCCTACCAGCTAATGAATTAAACTAAATCCTCAGCCTAACATTCAAGGTCCCCCATCCATCAGCTCTCTTCCCACATTATTACCTGTCGTGCCCCTTGTGCTAACGCCATAGCCTATACATGAATATTTAATATGCATTTGTGCATGATGATCATCTTTCCATTCCGTGACCATGTCATACTTCACTACTGTTACCTTTTACCCTACCTAAACTGGCCATGGGCAGACCCTTCTCCATACAGTCAACCATTTTACCTAGTTCAAGATTTGGCTCAATGCATTGCCCTATAATCACTGCTTTCCTTTATTATTCCCTGACCCTAATTCATCATTTGTGTTATTATCCATAACTTATTTAGATTTAGGAGGAGAGGACAGATTGGAAGCTCTTTGAGGGGCAGGACTATGTTTCCTACTTCCTTTTGTTTCTTCCATAAGGCCTGATCTGGTTTTGGGAATGCAGGTTCTCAGTAAATGCTTATTTGATTTATTCTGCTCTTTTTTATGCTCTTTCATCTATTTTCAATAGCATGGACCTCTAATATGATAGTGTTACCTAATTCTGCACAGAAAACTGCATGGTTTCAGAGGCTATGGTGGGAACACTGTGGACTCAAAGTATTTCAGAAGTCACTTACTCCTCAATCAGTCTGTTTCCATATAGTCAACAATGAAGCTGATCCTAATTACCATAAAATAAATTGCTTCATACTGGAACGTCTTCCATAGCACAGATATGTCCCTATCTTCCCTTGGTTTCCCACAGCCCTCCCTGACAAACCCCAAAAGCCTACCCCTCTCCATCACTCATTCTTTCCTGCTGTTCAGCTTCTCTTAGATCTCTTATCCCGTCTTTCAATTTTGGCAGGAAACAGATACTAAGTATTTCTGGAGAAATTTCTGCTTCAAAAAGCCACTTCTGATTTTCTGGTAAAGGAAGTCACAGATGTTTTTATCAACAGTTAAAACTTTTGAAGAGACAGAAGCTGCTTGGGAATTTGGAAGCTAATAAGCTAACTAATAATTTATATGGTTAAAAATGTTGAAGGGAAAGAGGGAATGTGATCCATAATAAAAAGATGTGTACCTAAGATTTATTATGTAAATATCTGTAAATGGTTGGACATACTATTGAACACATCAGAACAGGTTTGTGACCCTTGCTTATGGAGAACGCATTGGCCTGTTATTCCTAGGAATGCCAGCCGAGAGCTATGTCTATAAAGTTCTAAGAATGAGGACTCCACAATGTGTGTACAATTTTGCTTTAATGTATTACTGATTTCACTTGATGAATTTGTTACAGTTGGAGATTCCAGTGAAGTTTAAAATTTACCAGATTTTATGTTTATCTCACAGAGGCTGAGGAATTATTCAAGTTACACATTAGTACAGCACTTCCAGGTCCAGTGAGCATTGACTTACTTCAGGCGATAACACTCTACCATTTTTAAGTTTCTCATCGAAACTATTTCTTCTTCTTTGTAGCTGATCTTCTTCTTTCTGAAGAGCCTGGACTTCTTCTGAAATCTTTATTTGCTCCTCAGCTGGAATGCTCTGGAGCTGCATGCTCTTATCAGCCAAATCTTGGTCCAACAAGTTCAGGCGAATTGATATTTTCAAACTATCTTCACTTAAAGCCTAAAAGACACAACCCATCCCACCACATCAAAAAGTTATTAATTCAAAGCGTATATGACTATTAATAAAAATGTTGCAAATACTACCTCTGAAAGTTGTATTTCCACTTTATAGAGATATTAGATGAAATCAAGAGTTACAGCTATTTATAAAAGAATTTCCATTAACTACTCCAAATGGTGGCCCTTAAACAAAAATTTCTGAAAAGGCCCTCTACATTTTATTAATTGCAAAATGAAAACTTTCCTTACAGAAGACCTCTCTCATTTGATAGATTCCCACAAAAAACCAGCTTAGAAAAGAGAATGATAGAAGACTACTGATACGTGATGACAGTAGTTATTCCTACGCTATATTTTCAACTGTCTTTTACCCAACAACCAATGTTCAATATGAAACTTCTAGAGATGCTTTTCCTTCAAAACTTCCGTGAAAGTTCAGCAGCCAAACCATTAACCTAACAGAACATTAAATATTTCACCATTTTAGTCCTGAATAACTGGGCCGTGTACTATTTTAACAAATGGCAAAAAATCAATTGAGAACATGAAAATTTTATTCCTTTCACTTTTTTTTTATAGTGCGATGATCCACTTCTAAGAGAAGATACATTTTGTACAACTCTCAAACTAGAGCTAGGTACCTGATTGGATTGCAACTTCTTATTTTCCAAGTGGCTCTTCTCTTGTAACAATGCTTCCTTCTTGGAAACAATTGCCTCCCTTTGCATTAAGTCTTCTTCCAGCTCAGCTAATTCTTGATGTTGATGAAGAACTTTTTCTCCTTCTTCATCTAACCACTTCTTTTGTTCATCCAGTTCCTGCATTAAAAATCCAGAGACATGTCATTTGTTTCAACTTTCACCTGTGTAATAGTTAGCAACAAAAGTAAATCAGAATCCACAGAGCAGCATAAATTCAGATATCTGGAATCATTAAAAAAATGTTTTAAGTGTCATTAGTAAAAGAAGTATTTTATGGAATTATAAATGTGGTAGCTCTACTTAATCAATTTAGGATGAAAGAAACCTTTTTTCTTAGCAATTCCAAACCACGATTTTATTTTTACATTTTATATTTAAATATTCTTTTAAATTCTGAATCCTCAGCATCAGCATCAACAAATATTTATTAAACATCACTGTACATGTAAACATATTATGTATGCAAACCAATTCTGCCCTTATGGGTTTCATTAAGCTCCTCTTTAACTAGCTGAAAGTAACTTTTCTATTTAAAAGGAATTAGGGTCTATTTTTCAAAAACATACATTAAGATAAATTAATCTTCAAGTCAAAGGGGTAACAATTTTATATACTTAAAGTTAGTTCCTAGAGGATAATATTATGCTCTTATTTTCACTGTTAATGAAAACAAATCATCACAAGATAAAATCCTGTCCATTTTAAATAGGTCAACTTAAGAGAGGTATAAAAATGAAAATGTTTTCTATGTTCTCTAATGCCCTCCAGAATCAAGAAATTCTAGCAGTAGGAATATGCACTTGAAACATTAAGTTGTGGACATCTTGAACCTGGGCTATGCATTAAGGTGCTGTGTGAAGCTTGGAAATGCCAATGAAAGGTGGTATCCCAGAAACTGGATTATCACTTGAGGTTCATCCAGAAGGAACAACAAAAGGGACTAAATGTCAGGGTAGATCCAAGGAACAAGAAATGGAACTAGAAGCAAGGAATCGGGTTATAAAGGAAGCATTGTAAAGGAAGCAATCTGTCACTGCCAGGAAGCGAAATGTATATGCCTGGAATTCCATAGTATTTGGATATTTATGTATGTCTTACCTCTGCCTGATGGTGCCCGTGTATGCTTATCTTCTGCATCTGTAGCAAGTGGGCTCCAATACCATACTATACTCCTTCCTCTGAGAACCCTTCCCCACAACCCCTTAGACCATAAGAGGATTATGTGAGTGCCAGATATGGAAAGAATATGTGGGATTGTAAAAGTTTGGGAGGAAGCCCTATAACTTTTCCAATCCACAAAGTACTGGAGTTGCCACCCACTGATACTGGAATCCAGTGTTTTCTTAACTATCAACTCCTCCTTAGCCATCAGTCATTACCGGAGAAGGCCATGGAATGTAGACACCAAGGTCTTCATAGCCCTTTAAATATGACCTAATAACTTTAATCACAATAACCAGTAGAAGACCAAGTGCATTTGCACAGTGTCAAGGAGCCTTTGCTGAAAGGTAGCAAGCGTATTACTTGATTGATTAGGAAAGGACCAATGTGCTGGTCTTCCAATTTCCAGAAGGGTTAGTTGGCAAGGTAGTTTCTAACTGATAAGCAACCAAACTCAGTCACTAATCTTTGATGATCCAGTGGTGTATTTACACATAGACTGTAGCCTTTTGATGGTTTCTAAAGTGCCTGGGCAGTTTCCAAGTCTTAGAGGTAGCAGGTGACTGAATAGCGGTAAATCATAAGAGGTGGCAATAAATGAAAGTGGAATCTACAGTTTGAACAAGTGGTGTGTTCTGAATGGGAGCATTCATGGAATTAGTTAAAGTCAAATTACTATATAATGATTAAAATAATAATAATAATAAATGTGGGAAGATGAGTCAGTTATCCTAGTGGTAATGAGGCACTAAATGGTTTCCTCTATCTGGCTACATTTAGCTCAATTTGTGTTTTTCCAACTTTACATACAATTAGTACACTTAGAGAATCACATCAGCATGTGCTCCTATAAACTAGATATGTTGTCTATAGATGACAACGTTACTGAGGTATGGGATTACCCCAGCCCCAATTCTTGCATGTCTTGGAAGATAAAATTCACAAATTACCAAAAGGTTATCAGAAGAATAATTCAAAATACTCATACTCATATTGTTTGAATTACTGTTTTCTAGTAATCCCTTTGGCAACAGTCCTGGAGTAGGGAAAGAATCCTAGAAGATCCAGCATAGTGAAAACCAAGGCATGCCACCAATGATTCAGAAGATATAAATTTTGTGGTGAAGGATATTAGCTACAAATAAGAATTGCTATAGTCATGGCAGGGTGGAGTTCACCATTTTTTTTTCTTCATGAGGAGCACCAGTGCCCCTGGAGATGATACAGATGGCCAGTTAAACTTCCTCCAAAGGTTTGTGACCAAGAATTCCTTAAAGTCCTGGACGAATCAGTAAGTGCAACTATAAGTTCAGTAAGTGCAAGTGATAGGATTGGAGTCCTGATAGAGCCTTGATATCATGTCAAAGTTTTAGATTTCCTGGGAACTGAATGTATCAACTGATAGTGGAAGGGAGTAACTGGCTGCTAACGTGGCTCATTCATATCTCCCTGTAGTGCAGAAAACAGTAATCTGAACTGCAGGTGATCTGCAGGCACTCCATGTGGCAGCACAGAAGCCATGTCAGCTCAACTATCACACCTTCCACACTGCTGGGAGATAAAGAGAAATGGAATTAGGAGGTTTTACTGATTAGTGCTTCAGCCTCTAGCCAGTAAGTATCCTGAGGGATGAAGCTTGAAGAAAAGAGGAGACTTTTTTTTTCCTTGTGCTACAGGAAAGATACAGTGTTGGCTAGTGATCCCCTTAGGTCAAATCCAAGATCCACCTACAGAGAACGTGGCCCAAATGTTACAGACAATGCTATGCTAAAGGAATCACTTTAGGTTGGTACTGAGATAGCATTTTCTTAAATACAGTTATTCAACCAGCAGGATCTTCAACTAACAACATTGTCATCTAGCCCAGATTTCATCATTGTGTCTCTAAGGATTTCATAGGATACTGCTTTTGTGCAAATCAAAATACACTGTTGTCACTCTTTCCCTTCTCTCAAGATGGCAGACCAAAAAACCTCCAAAGGAAAAGAATGTCAGAAAGGAAAAAAAGAAGAACAAAAAGTAAAATGTGGCTGAAAAGGTGGTGAAAAAGCCTCAGAAGCATTGCAGTCGCAACCCAGTACTGGCCTGAGGGATTGGTAGATAATCAAGGTCTGCAGTACATTCCCAAAGAGCCATGTACAAGCAGAAATACGCTTCACCAAAAACCTGGATGGAAAGGAAAAAGAGGGACAGCTAGGTGGTGCAGTAGATACAGCACCGGCGCTGGATTCAGGAGGACTTGAATTCAAGTCTGGCCTCAGACACCTAACATTTTCTAGCTGTGTGACCTTAGGCAAGTCACTTAACCCCATTGCCTAGCCAAATAAATAAATGAGTGAATGAATGAATGAATGAATGAGGACTACTTAAAAAAGAAAGAAAGGGAGAGAAAGAGAGAAGGTGCCTACTACTACCTCAGAGACAATTGGTGGTGATAAGAATGGAGGAACCCATGTGGTAAAGATTCTGTGGATGTGCCTAGAAAGCTGCTACATTATGGCAAAAAGCCCTTCAGCCAGCATGTGATGTGACTTTGAGCTAGCATCACCCTGGGCACGGTTCTGATCATGCTCACTGACCACCACAGGAGCAAGCGAGTGGTTACCCTCAAGCAGCTGGCGAGTGGCTTGCTACTGGTGACTGCACTTCTGGCCATCAACAGTGTTCCTCTGAGAAGGACCCATCAGAAATTTGTCATTGCCACCCGTACCAGGGTTAATCTTTCGTGTGTAAAAATTCCAAGTCACCTTACTGATGTTTACTTCAAGAAGAGGCTCCGTGAACCTAGACACCAAGAAGGAGAGATTTTTGACACAGAATAAAAAGAAATATGAGATTACGGAGCAGCACAAGGCTGATCAGAAAACAGTGGACTCTCAGATCCTGCTTCAAATCAAGAAAATTCCTTAGCTCTGTGACTACTTGCATTCTGTATGCTCTCTCTCCAATGGAGTTTATCCTCACAAACTCGTGTTTTAAATGCCTTGTACAGAACTCTTATTAAAATATTTGGAATAACAAAAAATATACAGTTGTCTATGGCATCCCCTCTATTAATTATCAAATGAAGAAATATGGTTAATTTGGCATTATATGTTCTTAGTAAATCCATGTTGGTTGACTCCCAGAGAGCACCTTCATTTTATCTGTTCTAGAATTTTCATAGAAAATGACATCAAATTTATGTAGTTTTTTGAATTCATGTTTATAAAAATTTTATTTTCATTCTGAACTTAAACACCCCAAAAAGGGCTTTTTCATAACCACAGCAAGACACAAAAGGAAGACTGCATGTGAAATTGTGCTCTCTATTTCATCCTATTTTTTAAAAAGTATAGAACAATTCCACATGTTACTTTCAAAACTACCCTGCTTCCTATGCTTCCTTCAGGATTCTGTTCCTGTCTGTACATTTTAAAAATGTTTCAATGGCACCTTTTTTTTCCCTAACATCACTATTACTATCTTTCTCTTCCTCTCAACTCTCCTCCCCCATTAAAACCAAAAGAAAAAAAAAAACAAACTCATAACAACAAGTATAGTCAAGCAAAAGAAATGCACACAATGGCCATGTCCAAAAGAATTTGTTTCTACACCCTGAGTCCATCACTTCTGTCAGAAGGCATGTGACATGCTTCATTCTTATGTCCTCTGATATGAGATAGGATTGGTCACTGCACTGATGAGAGTTCAATCTTTCCAAGTTTTGGTCGTTGGTTTTCTTTTTTTTTCCAAACAGTACAGTTGTCCTTGTATAAAATGTTCGCCTGGTTCTGTTCACGTCACTTGGCACCAGCTCATGTTATTCAAGATTTTTTGCAATCATTTTACCACTTTTTACGATGTAATACTATTCCATCACATTCATCATATCACATTTTTATCAGCAATTTCCCAGTTCAAAGGCACTCTTTTCTAGTCCTTCTGCCCCCCTTTTAATCCCCTTTTTAGGATCA